AGTTAGAAGATGTAAAGTTACCATAATTGTCTTTCACCTAGTCCTTGAAGCTCCACCTGAAGTTCCAATCCATTTTAGAACTCAATCTTCCTTTTGACGACTTCTCAAACCACACCAAATTTGGTCCAGTTCCATTTCATTTTGAGAGTTAAATGTTCACTTGATGTTATTCAGAGAGTGTTTTCTCTCTTCAATGTCCTACAGCAATAAGATCAGAAAAATCAGGGTTGGAAGGGACCTTAAGAAGCCATCCAATCCCCATTTCCCTTGAACTAGCATAGCGAGATAGTGAATGAAAAGAGGCAAAGGTGTTTTGGAGGTATAACTAATCTGAAGAGGTGGACTGTCTCCCTTGTTCTCAGTGTTGTTGAGAGGTGTTCTCAGTGTTGGTGAGAAGTGGGACTCCTGTCTCTGTCAGTGGGTGTTCTTCATGGTTACCCCTGCCTGAACTGCTGGACTTGGGGTCACTGTCTGAAGGGAAAAAAAGACACACAGTCAGTGCTGAAAAAAGAGAGAGGTCTGACATTCACTTATTCTCTCATTTACTGATCAGCAGAGCCTCACTGTGTTAGCCACAGAAACACACCATCAGAGGCCCTTCTGCACCACCCGTAATCCCTCCAAGGCAGCTCAAAGCTGACCTGCAATTCCCTTCATTTCTGGGTTCTCAATAAATAAATGAACGAGTATAATGTTTCTGACTCATTTGTTTAATTGGGCTCTCTTTATCTAGTTTTAGGACTTGTGTGGAGAATATATCACATTTTAGGTCACATTTATGCACAAATATTGAAAATTCAAAAGGCTTCAGAAATTTTTAAGCACCACTGAGGTGACCCATAGAAGACAGAGGAGCCCATCCCCTCTTGGGTCACCTCCCCTGGGATCCAGGGCACTCTCCTCTGGCCCCATTCTTTCTCCTTTTCTGGAGAGGGAAAGAGCATGGCATCTCAAGGTAAGCTCCTGAAGGCTTGATGGGTGGTGAGGACACCTGCTCAATACGGGTAGCTTTACTAGGAAGCATCCAATTCTGCTCATCAGCCGGTGGGCAGCTTGCTCTGAGGCAAGACAGCTGATCCACAGAGTGAGGGCTGCCAGAGAAGTGGGAGAGCCACCTACTGAACAGCCTCCACCCACCCTGCCGATCAGTGGTCTTGGTACAGAGTTTGGCCAATTACTAAAGTTAAGGGTATGAAGTTACATTCTGTGATTTGCAGATGGTTTTCTACCAGTTAGTGACATGGGGAAAGATTGAGGGGAGCAAAGCCAGAGAATTTCTCAGTGACTTTGCTTCACACACCCTCCACACTTCAGATGAGGACAAGTCAGAAACAAGTCTATAGAGATACAATGGGGATCAGTGGTGGGGACAGCAACTATTTTGCCAGTTTAGTTTTCTGCCTGCTCAAGGGTGGATAGAGAGCGCTAACTGAGCCCCTGAAGAAAAGCCCTTATGGGAAGGATTTGAAGTCTCCCATTATTGAAAGGACCCTTCCTTTGCATGTCTTCCTGATTCTTTCACTATCTCAAGATCATCCTCAGCATCTCTTTAATCAGAGAAGTGACAGCACATTCCCAGATTTCATTTATACTGGTGGCCAATGTTTGCTAGTATGTTAGAATTTATGCCCTCCTTGATATACAGAACAGCGTGTATCTTTCCCTGTCCTTTTTACAATGTGGTATCCAGGATTGACTGTGTCCACTGATTCTCTTTCCTCTACCTGCTTTATGTTTATTCCCACTTCTCATCTGCAGCCATGTACTGTAATTCCTCTCAGGCTTCTAGCACTGAGATAGAAATACCTATATGCCATGCTCTTTTTGAAATGTTGTTGGCATGAGATTTCTGTCTACTTCTTTGCTCCTGACTATCATGCAAACAGGCAAAGAGATCACTCACTTGCTGCTGCTCTGTAGCCACCTTGACGTTTCTCTGCAATAACAAATATCAGAGAGTTAGAGCTACAAAAGAATCCACCAGAGATCATTCAGTCTCTTCCTTCATAGCAGGAAAAGCCCCAGGAGATCTTTCCATAGTTGCTTTGTCCCGGCCTCCCCTGGAAACTATTTTTAGCAGAAACATGAAGCTCTTCAAAGTACAAACTCACCCCCTTTGCTCCACAGGAAACCTGCTGCCTCTGGAATGGACTGAGGATAATTGGCAGAAGCAGCTGGGAGAAATATATACTGTATTTTATTGTAATATTTCTCTGATGCTTTTTGATCAAAAACTATTGAAGGGCAGAACTGCAATGGCTCTTCCCTGTTACGGAGGAGAACGTGGAACTGTTCTAACCTCAGACTAAGCTAAGTCCTTAGTGGAGTCCTAGCAAGAACTTCAGAAGAGTTCAGAAACTCCTGATGAGGGCTGAGGAAATGTGGAAGAAGGAAGCCTACAAGAAGCTCCCAAAAGGAAGGAAGGTAGTCTTTGAATCTTACTACTCACACCAGTAAGCAAAGATATTTACAGGTTACTTACTGCAGTATATTAACAATCCGATGATTATAGACACTATGACAAGGACAGCCGCGACACAGCCAAGGAGGAGTCCTAGTTTGGATTCTGAAGCTGAGTTGGGAAAAAGAGCAAAATAATTAAAAGGAAACCAAGACAGTATTTGCGTGGAGAGGATCAAAGCAACCCTCTCAGCTTGAATTGGTTGGGCAGACACCATGGGAAACAGGCGGTTCCTCAAGTAACCGGGCCCCATGCCCTGTAGGGCTTTACAAGTCATAACCAGCATTGTGAACCAGACCCACAAGCAAACTGGCAACCAGTGTAGCTCACAGATCAGGCGTGTCACTGCACTGCTGGATTCTAGACCAGCGAAAGCTTCTGAGAGGTCTTCAAGAGCAGCCCCGTGTACAGAACATTGCAATAGCTGAGCTGTGACAATTTATGTTAATGATTCTCAACAAGTACAGATAGATTTCTTTGCTGTATACACACAAATGGCAATATAATCAACTTAAGTAGGTTTTGATTTCTCAGTATGGACCAGACTCCTTCGCTGCCTCAGAGAAGACTGAGATGTTATCATAGTTGATTGGGGCTGTTTCTGAAATCAAACTGACTTTGAGATTATATCAGAAATTGAAAAATAACTATAAAGGTGAAGTTACTAATATTTATGAGTTATGGAGTAAGCAGTTGGAATACCAGATAATGGAGGATCCATGGATCCATGTTTTAAACAATGTTAAGCTTGCTTCCTTGGACTTAAAGCTGAAATTAATCTATCAAAAGATTTTATTGGACTGCTCAAAGAATGAATCAGAAAGGATAGACTGTAGATTTTCTCTGTTGGCAATGTAAGAAATTTGAGGATATATTAACTCATATGACTTGCTCTTGTCCAGATTTTATTTCTTTCTGGAAGAATACTGTAACATATAGAGATAGGGTAAATATTTCTAAGTTTAAAATGTCAATGTCATTTTGAATTCTATTCCAAAATTGTGGGATCTGACTGTTTTTTAGGAATATTGGCTATATCCCTCCAATATTGATATACCGGAAAAGTACTATTATCTTGGATACCAAAAACTGGACATTCAAGAAATGTGTAATTTATCCATTCTTGAAAAGGCTATTTTTTCTACTAATCAAAAAATGAAATAACGCATTTCCTTTTGGCATAGATTTCATAATATTTTACAAGAATAGACAAATTTGGTACATTGTTATAAATGATTAAATGAATATGTGATGCATTTATGAAATTTATATCAATAATTTGGGGGGAGGGTTCTGTTTATTTTTGTTTCAGTATTACAATTTCATAATTAACTGGTTGGATACTGCTGTTGTTCTTTTAATTGGTTTTTGTATATTGTTTACTCTGTATTGCTTTTTTTAAGGGAGGAGTCCTAACCTGATATACTAACCCATTCCTTTCTTCAAACGTGAGCTGTTTCTCCTAGTCTTTTCCAGGTAATGCTGTTGCAATAAAAAATGCATGTTTGTCTCTCTCTCTTTCCAGAAGCCTCCACTCAGTCCAAGCTAGGCATGCAGAAATCTGCCTTCTACCCAGTCAGATCTGCTTCAGCTCTACCTACATTGACCAGCTGCCACTTCGCAGTGTTTCAGGCTGAAGTCTCTCCCAGCCCTCTGTGGAAGTGCCAGATTAACAGCAAGCGCCTCCCTCCCTTCTCCCTCTCACCCATCTCCTTCCAAGCCACACACTTGTGCAGGCCACCATGTTTCCACATGGAATAACGTGAGCATGCTTGGAACAAAACCCCTGTGTAGGAGACAGTAAAACCACATCTAATGCTGTGTTAGTCGCAGTAAGTTGGGGAGGGAACAGAAACCAAGCATTTAGAAACCCAAGTATCTGCCATCACAGTTAGCCTATTAGTGTGATGGAATTTTTCAGCCTTCTTTAAATAATTCCAAGCAAATTGCGCAGGCTGTTCACTGCAGGTCCACAATCTTAAAAAAAAGGGAATTCCAATAGAATAAAACCAAAGTAGGCCCACATCTGGGAACTGCCAGCCTGAAATTTATCTCCCACAATCCTCCCCTTCCCTGCAGTTTGTCACCTCCTACAACCACATGGAGTGGTTCCTGCAAGCCATCATGTTCAACATAGCACCCATAGCGGTCCTTCTCCTTGGGGTCAATTGTGATGCTGATCCAGGTGCAGTAGGTCCCATCCCAGTGACGGATGATATCCCCACGAATAGTCTCTTGATCCCAAATCTCTCCATCCCTCTTCCAGGTGGTATATATCTCTTTAGGGTAAAAGTCACAGATAGAGCAGTTCAAGATCTCCAGGCCATCACCATCCACCATGCGTGTAATTGTCACAGCTGGTGGTTCTGCAGAAATAGAAGCACCAGAGGTAATAGAAAGTTATCCCTAGGGTTGGCAACACAGGGCAAAAAAAGTACATATCTGTTCCCATATTGGATATTCTACATCCCACATAGATCAAATACTTGAGATGTAAACAATTCCAAAGAAGACCTAGAGATTTCTTTAAGTATCTTACATTTTTATTTATTTAGATTTATACTGTGCCACACCACATCACGATGCTCAAGATACTCAGCTGCTTTTGAGATTTTTAGGTGGTTGGCCACCCTCCACCCCGTTACTATTTCTATGTCCCTGGTTACTTTCATGTAGTTCCTTTGCTAGCCCACATTTCAAGTTTCATAGCTTCATCTGTATCGTAGCAAGCAAAACAACAGCCCAAGTAGAAAGCAAAACCCTCATAGTCCTACATGGCAATAGGAGACACAAGAACATTCTTTTCTTCTTTTGTTTCTTTATACCTAGGAAGTCCATTGGCTGGCTCCTTCTATAATTGATATTCTGCTGTTCGGGGATTTTACCCATTTCTGATCCATGACAGCTATTTTGGAACAGATGGATCTTCTTACGAAAAGCCAATGGGTTCAGGGCCATTTGAATTGTGGGGGTGGGGAGCTGTTCCACAGGGCAGGACTGTGACACACAAGACAGAGTTCCTGGGTCCCATCAGATGACATTGCTTGATGGAAGGGACCTCACTGGGACAAGTAGAAATAATGAGAGACAAGGGGTCCTACAAATAGTTATCAACTAAGAGGTCTTGAAAATACTTATCAACTAACGATTCCTTGTTGATTAATGTCAGGTCAGGAATAGCTGATTCCCTTGTGCCCACTTCCACCTTCTGAATGAGAAAATTGTCAACAAGGTAAGTCCGGAAGAACGAAGTGTGGATGGATTTGTCAAAGTAATTAAGTTTCCCTGTCACTTCCTGCCTCTTTGAAAGATCTGCAACTTAATTTTTTAAATTAATTTTAAAGACCCAGTAGCCCAAGAAGAGAAAACAGGAGTCATCTTCAACACACAGTTTAAGGACTGTAACAAACACTATGTAGGACAGACAGGCATAAGGCTGGCAGACCGCATCCACGAGCACCAACTAGCAGTCAGAAGACATGATGAAAATTCCTGAATCTCACAACACATGGACAGACTCAACCAC